CCGCGCTCGGTTTGTACTGGGCATACAACGAAACGTCATGCAACCCGCGTAAATCAGTAAACAGGCTGTTTTTAGGCCACCGACATGTTCGCTTGCCTGTCCGCATGTAAGAACTAGGTAGGCCCACCCATTATATGCCCACCCCCAAGTATGACTAGCTGAATCAAGTCAACACTCGTTCTGGTTTTAACAGCGATTTATCAAATAAGTCACAGTCGGGACACTCCCAAATACTTAAATTATTGAATAATGTTATTTGATAACTCAGTTGTGAAGACATTTCAGATTTGTTAGTCCAAAAGCCTTCCCTACTGATTAGCCCAGTCCAGATCTCCCGAGGCCTCGCTCTCAGTTGATCGCCAAGAACTTCGAACACGGTCCAACTCATCGTAATTCTTGCCATTTTTTCAGAATGCACACTCACATCACACTCGTTCTAACCGTCATTCTCCCGTCCCGGCGCTATCATTCGATTGAGTCCGTACCAAAGTTGGAAGCACTGGACTCGAGTTTTACTGTTGACGGAACTCATCAGTAGTGCATAACCTTGGCCATGCCCGGTGTGAACTCCGCTCATCAGACATGCCAGGCAAGTGTGTTACCACTGCTTCACCTGCGCACTCTGCACACATCTGACTTCTCACGTCCGAACAAGAGAGCATGTTCTCGCTTGAGTGGTGTGAGCGGAAAGCCCGACGCCTCGAACTACTACCAAAAGAGCCCTTCGAGGAAGTCGGTCGCAGCACGTGGCCAAGCCAGCACATATTGTGCAGCGTGATCAATTCATCTGTCGAGGGTGAGTTATCGAACTACTAAAGAGCCCTTCGAGGAAGTCGGTCGCAGCACGTGGCCAAGCCAGCACATATTGTGCAGCGTGATCAATTCATCTGTCGATCGAGAGTTATTTCTCCCGAATACCATTCGACGTACTTCAGAATTGCTGATCCAGTGTTCCCACCAGATTCGGGCAATGCTCCGAAGACATCGATGGTCAAACACTGAGAGTCTTTTGACGTCCTCGGCGCGCAGCGGCCAGGATTCTGATCCATAAAGTAATATGGAGCGCACCGCAGCATTGTAAACTCAACCCTTGACAAAGAAGCTGATGTCAC